TTTAGGATAAATCCACCTTTAAACATTCTCGAGAACAATTTCCAAAGCTTATAATTTAAATTCTGAACATCACATACCGGGATGCAGTTGAGACTCAACTTTCGGTGATAATTTCAGATGTTCTCAGCAATCCACTTCTTCATCGTTTTGCTTGCGTTGTCATGTGCAACTGACGCCCTATACAGGTGAGACAATGTGTTCATAAGCTCTTCGAGGCATTCTCAGCCATGTAGGCCCATCATTTCCAGAGAACACCTATCGGGTGCCTTGATCAGTGAAAGATCATGAGAATTTGAAGAGATTGATTGTACTGAAGATCGTGGGCACTTTCCGAATTTTCGAACAACGTTGAAAGCAAATTTGTTTCCGTCGATACCGCGATCTGCAGTTGATTTTCAGAGTGTTTTTTCGATAAAATGATCAATGTACGATTTCAGGGTACCACTAACCAGAAGAAAACGAATACTGAGCGCCGATACAAAAAGGAAACCCTCGCCCAATCGATCCTTTCGTTTTTTCGGCGATAAGCTCACGGATATGCCACGGTCGGAGTATGATTTGCCTCTGAACAATCATGGCAATGGTTTCTACTCAGGACCAATCACTGTTGGAAAACCACCGCAAAAATTCGAGGCAAGCCTCTATCATTGCGAGAACAACATAGAGCAGTTTAACATGACCAGATCGCTGAGGACATCTGAAAGCGGATTTTGACTCGATGGCGATTTTCACTGTGCGAATAGACAAATTTTTAATAGGGATTGCGCATCACAGTTACACTACTCTACTGAAACCATTTTCAATGAATATCGGCGTTTTCTAGGTGGTATTTGATACGGGTTCATCGACGTTATGGATAGGCTGTGCGGGATGCTCAGCTGAGGTTTGCCAGATGCGTAACACGTTCAGTTGTTCTCGATCTCAAACATGCTCTCTGAACCAGTCGGATCCTATTAACAACCGTTACGGCAAAGGCGGATTTTCGGGTCCCTCAGCCACAGATGTTGTTTGTGTGCGTTTGTGGTGATCTCTCTATGAATTGGTTATGTTATTTAACTTTCGAACTCTGTCATTCCCTTCAGGTATTCCTGTTATGAGTAATGTCAGTGAATGGTTCATCAACCTAACCAATTCGCTTCTCGAATTTTTGAAGTGGTCCGCCCAGCTGCTTTGCTTCTCAACAGGGCTTGTAGGGCTAAGAAGTTGCCTTCTGACGAACATTGTCCCCAATGTCCGCTTGTTTTGACTGTTCACTTAGGTAGCGAAGATCTTCGGTAAATTTGATGAGATTATTCTGATGCAGAACTCACATAATTCATCTACATTTTAAGCCGTCCGAAACACTTTTAGAATCCGAATTAGGCAGGCGAATAAGTCCAAAAATATGATCGAGTCAGACCTTTTTTTTCGGTTTTAAATCTTCCGTTTGATTTTTCAATGGAGAAAAGAATAAAGCAATCATAGATTGGTGATGCAGACAGTGGGTATTGCACTGGACTGATTCAAAAGTTCACCTGTGCGACAGAAGCAGATGATGTGCCGGTAATCTTCTGAAAAATTTCCGCCTAAGATTGTTTGCTACTATTCTCCTGTACAGACACCTATATTATGGAAAAGTTGCTGCTGGATACAATCGATCAATATATGATAATTTTGAGGTAACAGTGGATGGCACAATTGGTCTGAGTTTGGAGTCGATAGGTTCGGAGTCTCTGCCATCCCCGATGTTCCAGATTCTTCAAAATCCTATATGCCAAGAGAAAAAAATCGCATTCTGGTTGAACAGAGATTTAAAGGCGGAAAACGGTGGAGAGGTGACGATATGTGGTGTGGACAAAAATCATTATCAGGTTATACCTCTTCGAGAATTTCTGACAGTAGCTAGTGCACAGATTTTCGTCGCAGCNCGGTCAAACCGACACAATCATCGACACTGGTACTTCAGTAATATATGCACCTATAGATGTTTATGAGCAAGTATGCTTTTAATCATCAAATTCTCAATAAGTAATTGATTTGTAACCTGGGGTGAATCGGTTAGGTTACTTCATAATTTTGGTTTTTGTATTGTCTATTTTGAGTCATTTAGTGCTGAAAAAGTTCGATTTTAGACAATCTGTGTTTACGTGATGAAGGAGTTTTTTTGATTAAAGGTTATCAAAACGAATTAAGATTGGTTGCTTGTTGGACCATTTCAGATACGAATGTTCTTTAATACGACGCAGGTATACGCGGATACTCATTTAATGGCAGTTTCTTGTTCGAGCGTTGATGAGCTTCCAACATTGACATTCTATTTGCATGGAAACCCCTTCAGCGTTCGTCCGGAAGTGTATGCATGGAAGGTAAGAAATACAGTCATCCAATACCGTTCTGATTTCCCGCTCGATTCCTCTTAATCTTCCTGAATCAAAGTTATTGACCATTCCGTACTCATCCTGCGCACGGTAATTAGCCTAAATCACTAAATTTTTCTATCACTATATAGGTAATCTGTATCAGTGCTTTGCAGTGTTCTGTAGAACACAAGCTTCGATGAGTGTGCAAAATGGCCATTCATCAGTCCTTTAGTCATTTAATAGAAATGGACTTGAAAACGGAAAATGCTGCAATAACAATTGGTCGCTTTGTGAACTGAGGTGTGGATATTAGGGCGAACACGACAAATATAAATGATCACTTGAATGGGCATTGCGCTCCAAGAATCAACAAAATTCGGTATGTGATTGATGAAAGCAATCAAAAGCTAAATTTTAGAGGGAGACAGATACATGTGAGGTCTACATAGATAGATACATTGAGCAACCTCAAGCCTGGCTTCTCGGTGATGTATTCCTCGGAGAATACTACTCGGTGTTTGATTACGAAAACAGAAGAGTTGGATTCGCAAAACCTGTAGCACAGGCAGTCGATTATCGTNTCCAACTCGTCCAACACGTCCAAATCATCCAATGCGTCCGTTCAGATCATATAAGGAATGAATCGCCTAATGTTGATCGAGATCATATTGAAAGATTGATTTGCATAACATCAATGTCTCACTAAATTATGATTATTTTATCGATAAATGTTGCAGAAATGTGGCACAAAACTGCGTATTTTACAGTTCAAATGAATGCATCGACTAGGAACCATTTCACTGTGACAAATTCAAACCCTCACAAAAAGTTGATGAAAATATCGAGACGAATTCAGAAATACCTTAATACCACTTGACAAAATCAATTGCAGTCATCGTAAAATGTGAGCTCGAGCTGCCATTTGGCGTCCAAATACCGTTAAAAACCACTTTTTCGTTATTTTAGCTCATTAAATGAATAGGACCATCATTCTCCGTAGTGATTCTCTTGTAATTGCGTTACTATATTGCACTCCATTGAGTTTTTCATGATTTGATTGTGGAGTGTCGAATTTACTTACATTGAAAAAAAGTATCAAATACATTTCGTAGTGAAACGGAAAAATGGAAATCTGCAAATTGATATTAGTGATTATCACTCGAAGCTATGCCTCGAAGTATATAGACGTTTTCGAAAGGATAGAACGTAATAAAATGGTATGCACTTATACACCTTACAGACAACTACTATCACGGATGGGTATTACAGGGTGGATGTTGAGTGGGGTGAGAAGACATATTCAAAATTTTTAAGGGTGGGGGAAAATGGTTAAGAACCACTGCTTTTTATGAAAACATTTGATCTCCTCGTCGATCACTACTGGCTAAATTTTTAGCTTCGCTGAATTTTCGATTTCGCTCCCTTCCTGATTTCGATATCCCAAGATCGTAATGTAGAATTTCGAAACGAAATCCGGAATTAAGGAAACCTACCAACCAGCAGTCCTGCATAACCATTCCGTTAATGTTACAGACATGTTATGCGTGCAAAATTGCCTAAATCAACGAAGTTATAACATGAAATGTTTGAAGATTCAGTATGAATTGCAGCTCATCCTAACCGATCTAATAGCATTTGAACACTCATTTCTTTGCTATCTTATCATGCAAATTTTGGGCACAAACGAAAACAACGATCAATATTAGGTGGATTACACTTAGATCAATCCGTAGCCAGCACTTAAATTTAAACTATAGAATAATAACGTTACAATGTTGTGAGCACATGCTAATGGAGTGGTTCGTCATGCTTTAGTTACAATCGCGTTCGAGGTTGATCGTAACGGTGGCGATATATCAGATTAGAACGTCGTGAGAGATCTCCAATTGAGCGCTTTGATAGACGTGAATCTTCATCGGCGAAAGTTGCATGCCTGAAACATATCGTTCACTTATTCATCGAAAATTTCGGCTTCCATTCAAGAGCATGATCCTACTGTCAGCTGCAGCACAAACGAAGACGAGATGGTGTTATTTCATCAAAAATAACTATTCGTTGGTTGTTTTTGGAATGCTCGATTTGAATACAATATAATGTCTCATTGCATTGTTCAAATGAATAGAGGAATTCAAGAACATGCGAAATCATTCGAATGCTGGACCAATTGTTGAAGACGAGCAATTCCATGCCGAACAAACAACTTTTATCGTAACCATTGTCATTACGGAGTTTCTGAAGCTGTCGCCTCAAAAGACTGACGCTTACGAATGCGAGAATCTGAATTATTCATCGCATTATTTTCCTTTTCAGTAAAAGAATTTTGTATACCATTCGTTAGCAAGCGGACAAACAATGGAATTATGACAATGCAATCATCATGAAACCCACTCAAATCACGCTATATATAAGCACCCGTGAAATCGTTGAATTATCACTGATCAAATGCGATGCCAACTGCTTCACGTGGCCTATCGCCGTCCAACCATTTCCCCCGTTTAGGATAAATCCACCTTTAAACATTCTCGAGAACAATTTCCAAAGCTTATAATTTAAATTCTGAACATCACATACCGGGATGCAGTTGAGACTCAACTTTCGGTGATAATTTCAGATGTTCTCAGCAATCCACTTCTTCATCGTTTTGCTTGCGTTGTCATGTGCAACTGACGCCTTATACAGGTGAGTCAATGTGTTCATAAGCTCTTCGAGGCATTCTCAGCAACGTAGGCCCATCATTTCAAGAGAACACCTATCGGGTGCCTTGATCAGTGAAATACCATGAGAATTTGAAGAAATTGAATGTACTGAGGATCGGGGGGCGCTTTTTGAGAAATATTTTGAGGATAGTTGTTTATGTCAAAACCACGATCCAGTTGATCTACATAGTGAATTGTTGATGAGGTGATCGATCTACGATTTCAGGGTACAACTGACCAGAGGAAAACGAACACCGAACACCGATACAGAAAGGAATCCCTCGCCCAATCGTTCAATCCGTTACTTTTCTGATAATCCCACGCATACATCATGGTTGGAAGATGAACGGTATGATTTTCCGCTGAATAATCGCATGAATCTCGGTTACTGGGGAACAATCACAATTGGAAAGCCACCGAAGGAATTCGAGGCAAGCTTTTGTCTTCATGAGAACAAAGTATAGCAGCTTGAGATGGTAAGCTCGTTAAAGAGATGTAGATGTGAATTTGGACTCAGTGTTGATTCTCACTGAGCGAATGGATTCAACTTTTTATCACAATCTGCACATCAAGGTCAGATTACTCTGATGAAGACACCGTCAATGACCATACATATTCAATAGGTGCAATTCGATACCGGATCAGACCTGCTGTGGGTAAACTGTGCTGGTTGCTCGGCTGAGGAGTGTCAGAGACATGTGACGTTCAATTGCTCTCAATCACGATATTGCTCTCTGGTCGACGCTAAACCAGATCCCATTGAATACGCCAAAGGCTATGCTTGGGGTCCTATTGACAAGGATTATGTTTGTGTAAGTTTATCTTGGTCTATTTGAGTTGGTCGCGTTTTGAAACCTTCGATCTCTTTCATTCTCCTCAGGTATGCCTGAAAGTAATGGTTATTATTGAACAGATCTTCGACTCGGCCAATTCGCTCCTCGAATTTTTGTCGATGAGCGAACTGGCCGAGTTAAGCGTTTGTTCTGACTGTTGTCTTAGGTAGCAGTAATCTTCAGCAAATAAGAAGAGATAATCCTGATGGAAAACGCACATGACTGGTCTTCATTATGAAGCCGTCGGAAACATTCGCAACATCCGAATTCATAAAGTGAATTAGTTCAGAGATATGATCGAGTGAGAGCTTTATCACCTTTTTTTATGCATCGCATTGTTCGTTTTTCAACAGAGAATGGAGAAAACGAAATTATAGATTGGGAGCGCAAACAGTGGATTTTGCAGCGGTGTGAGACAAAATTTCACGTGTGCAATGCAAAGAAGTAGGATAACCGTAAGTTTGTCAAAAATTCAATCCGAAAATGTTCAAGAGTAATCTGTTCTACACTAAGATTTACTGTTGGAGGATTGAAAGTGGATAGATATAATCCGTGCTTGATAATTTTAAGGTTTCTTACGAAGGCGTATTTGGTTTGTCTGCGGAAGGGGAATCGCCGGGAACGGAGTCTGCAATGGGGCAGTTTCTTGGACATTCTAATTGCAAGGATAAAAAAGTTGCGTTCTGGTTGAATAGAGATATCCGGGCGAAAAGCGGCGGAGAGATGACGATATGTGGTGTGGACAAAAATCATTATCAGGTTACAACTGTTCGAGAATTTCAGGCAATAACAATGCACAGACTTTCATCGCAGCGACCATTTTCCATATCAGCAGAATATATCATCGGTTTATTTCATAGCGCTTTGCTCGATACATTTCGATAGCATTTTGCAATGATCACAATGAAATAAAGTGCTAATGAATAATGGATTGTTCGGGAAACCACTCAAAATGATGGTTTGATCTGTCAAGGGAGATCTAGAATGGCTTCCAATCGCGTTCGGACCTCTTTGGACCGTTCGAATGGATTCCGTGCTTATTGGTTCAAATCGGATATCGCTATCTCTCGGTGAAAACGATGCAGTCATTGACACTGGTACTTCAGACATATTTGCGCCTAAAGTTATATTTCAAAAGGTATGTTTTAGCTGCCAAATTCTCAGTGAGTTTCTGATTAGTGACTCGGATGAATCGGTCAGGTTGTATTATAATTTGTGTTTTTCAGTTGTGAATTTCAGGTCATTTAACATCGAAAAGTTCGATTTCAGGCAATGTTTGTATATGTTATGAAGGAACTTTATTAAATAATGGGTATAATATTGAATTAAGCTATTGGTTGTTTGTGTTGCCATTTCAGATCATAGAGATCCTGAATGCGATCGGATTATATTGCAATGCTTGGGAATGCATTGGATTGTTTGTTCGTTGTTCGAGCGTTGATGAGCTTCCAACATTGACGTTTGTTTTGGATGGACACCAATTCAGCATTCCTCCGGAAGCGTATGCGGAATGGGTAAGGAATGAAACCAACTAATACCGTTCTCATTTGCTGCCGATTACTCTTAATCTTCTCGAACCAAGGCTATTATCCATTTCGTATTCATTTTTACAAAGCAGTTAACCTAAATCAGTTAATTCTGCGACCACTATATATCACTATGAATTGGCAATCTGTATCAGTGCTCTCCAGTATTCTCTAAATTACAAGCTCCAATGAGTGTGCAAAACGGCCATGAAGAGTATTCTACTCATTTAATGGAAATTAACATGAAAAGCGATTAGTCGTTTCTTGAGATGGATAAAAGATATCAAACTTAACGCGATAAATGATCACTTGAACGGAGGTTGCTATCCTAGAATCAACAAAACTCAATATGTGATCCATGAAACGAATCAAAAGCTAAATTTTGCTTGTAGGACAAATGCAACCATGGTTGTGTGGTTCACATAATGCCATATACCCAGTGGATTCTCGGTGATATTTTCCTTGGACAATACTACTCGGTGTTCGATTACAAGAATAAAAGAGTTGGATTGGCAAAGGCAACAACATAAGCAGTCGGGCATCATCCAACGCGTCCGTTCAAATCATATAAGGAATGAATCGCCTAATGTTGATCGAGATCATATTGAAAGATTGATTTGAGTAACAACAATGTCTCATTCAAATATGATCATTTCATCAATAAATGTTACTGCAAAGTGGTACATAACTGCGACACAGAACAGTTTAAAAGAACACAATCGATCAGACACCATTTCACTGCAACAGATCCAAATCCTCTCAACGAATTGATACAAATATCGAGAGAAATCCAGGTCCCTTCAGGTCTACTGCTACATTAGGATTCCTCAGTTAGCTCAAAATTGTCTAGTACCATCGCTGTAGAGAGGTCAGCCAGTTTCAGTTAGATATGCATGAGGGGAACGGATGATGCTTTTTTATTCAGGTATGGTTGAACTCCGGAATGTTCACCACACATGAAACGGTGAGCAACTGGACTGCGTCACCTATCTTTCATTGTAAACTTGATCTGTTTGTTGATCAAGCATCAATATTGAACTGCCACAATGCACGCATGGCTATCTTCAGATATCCCACAAGCTCAAGCAAGGCACTGCAACAAATCTTTTCTGCGACATTTAGCTAACTTAGTGAGGCTCGGAGATTTGCAAAAAAATATGTGTGTGTACCACATGGGAACTTCTTAGTTCCAGGGATATAATCGTGACCAGCGTGACCGATACCTTTGCTGGCTGACAAACATTATATACTGAATTGGAAATGTTGACGATCAAAGAATACATTTGAAAACTGCGTAATTGCTTCGGTGAAGCTGTTAACAGAGGGGTAACTCCTTGATTTAGCAGAGTCTCATGCTGTTTAAAGCAATGAGATCTAAATTGTCCATGCATTTTTCAACTAAGCAATGAAACAGCTTAGTGGGGCCCGCAGCTTTGCAGAAAATGTGTGTGTACCACACGGGAACTCCTCAGTTCCAGGGATATAATCGTGACTAGCGTGGCAGATACGTTTGCAGACTAACAGACATTGTATTCTGAATTGAAAAAGTTGACGATCCAGGATCATATTTGAAAATTGCTTAATTGCTTCGTTGAATTGTCATATAAGTTGCGTCTACATCGGTGAAGCGGTTGAATGGAGTGGTAATTGCTTGACTTCGCTGATTCTCATACTGCTCAGAATACTGACACAAGAAGTTCCATTGCGTTATTCAACTCATTGCCAGCAGAGGCACAATGTACTGCGGAAAATCATTTGGATGAAATCAAGCATAACATCGTGATAATTTCAAGCATTTGTCATCGTTTCTTGCTCCGTTTGTTGAATGAGGCATAGAGACATTCTTTGAAGTATTTGTTGAGTACGAACAATTGCTCAGAAATCTCATGAAGAGAACAATTGTCATACAAGTTGCATCAATTGCTGAGTTGTTATGTAAAATTATTCTCAAAGACATAGAAGATCAAATTATTAGTCATATGCTGATCACTGTTCCAATTGTCATTATTGTTTAAATTTCTATTATCACAGTTGTCAGTATGGAATGCTTGAGATTTTTGCATTGAAATAAGAATACCTATCAATTCATGGCTGCGAATCATTCATAAAGCTGTGATTCCTTGAGAAAATTTTCATTATTATTAGATTCGACTCGAGGAAACAATGCACATTTGTTATACAAAGCAACGCAATCGTCTTGAAACGCATTCNGCTGAGTTGTTATGTAAAATTATTCTCAAAGACATAGAAGATCAAATTATTAGTCATATGCTGATCACTGTTTCAATTGTCATTATGGTTTAAATTTCTATAATCACAATTGTCAGTATGGAATGCTTGAGATTTTTGCATTGAAATAACAATAACTATCAATTCATGGCTGCGAATCATTCATAAAGCTGTGATTCCTTGAGAAAATTTTCATTATTATTGGATTCGACTCGAGGAAACAATGCACATTTGTGATACAAAGCAACGCAATCGTCTTGAAACGCATTCAAGCAAAGCAGTATAAAAGCATCCCTGAAACGATCGCATTTCACTCAACGTGCACAATTTCAAAAGACGCCTGTAGACTATCACTGACTGATTACATTCGCCTTTTTTTTAGCAAAGTCCCACTTGCAGTTCCCATCGAAAACAATATCTGCGATTCATTTCATATATTTTGCAATATATGTTAACTGGTCCTGTCGAGTTTAAATTTGTGATACGATATAGTTCAGGGAAAATGTCTGCAGCGGTGGAATTGCTCCTTATCTTGCTTGCATTATCACACGCGACCGACGCCCTATTCAGGTGAGGCCATGGATTTAGAACCCTCAGTAAACATCCTTGACACTTTAACTCATCATTTCACAAACGAAAATAATGGTTTCACTGCATGAAGTCTGGTTGTGAAGGTTACTTCAGTTGTTTCGATTATTTTGATTGCACGAAGAATTAAACTGAATTGAGAATTATTGAATGGTACACCTGGACTTTGTAAAGCTCATTTTGATGAATTCAATTCCACTAGAATTTGGAATCTCTGCAAAATTTCAGGGTGCCTTTAGTTAAGCCGAGAGACGTGGGAACAGAATCCTCATTTCATCGTTATCACCGTTACTATTCCGGTAATTCCATCTCATCAGGATGGCCATTCGATTCAGATGAGAAAATGTTACATAACGTGCCGCTCTTCAACTATTACAATATACTTTATGCAGGACTAATCAGTATTGGTGTGCCGGAAAATCAGTTTTTGGTAATCTTCTATCGTGACGACACTACAAAAGCATAGCCCAATCAAGATAGCTAACTAAAACCCTTTTCATTCTCACTGTATGAAAAGATACAAATTTCTAGCGGAAATTCCAGTTCAGGGCTATACCTCCCCGTTGAAAGCACCTTTAATGATTATCCACATTCTACAGGTGATATTCGATACGGGCTCATGGTCGTTTTGGGTAGACTGTGCCGAATGCTCCAGTAAGGCATGCCAAGGAGCTAAGAAGTTCAGTTGTTCTGAGTCATCAACATGCTCCCTGGCCCAGTCAGCACTAACTGCGGAGCCTTACGGCAAAGGCTCATATTCGGGTTATTCAGCCACAGACATCGTTTGTGTGCGTTCATTGCAATTCATCTTTGAATTCAGCTCAGGCTGAGCCTATAAAAGAACCAGCGATGCATCATAATTTTAGCGAAGATCATTGCATCCCAGCCTCACACTTCTCAAAAATTCAGCTACAGCTTTCGCACAATGATTTCAATGTTTTGACTCAAGCTTAACTTCCAGCCCTATATAATATTTAGCTGGTACCTCCATTTCGATCTCTGAATTTCCCAATTTTCGGCTTGAGCTCCGATCCTGCGCTTTGCTGCTCAATTTTTTTCTGGTTTGATATTTTGCAACAGAGAACGAAATAGATAAAATTACAGGTTGGTGGACTCTGTACCGGAGTGGATCAGCCCTTTACATGCGCAACACAGCAAGATTTTACGGTTGAAAATTCTTGACGCTTCTAACTTTGAACATTTTGCATATTCGTCGTCAACCTTACAAGAAATGAATCTGATGAACTGTCTGTCAGTTTTTCGAAACAGTGCAAAAACAATTTACGATTGTGGTTTGCAGTCAGTAACGCAAGGCGTTCTTGGTTTATCTAATAACAGATCAAGCTCGGGAACGCAGTCCGTGTTGAATCAAATCTACGCGAATCCGCAATGTAAGGAAAAGAAAATCGCATTCTGGCTGAACAGAAATAGATGGTCTGCTGATGGCGGAGAAATGACGTTATGTGGCATGGATAAGAATCATTATCAGGTTTTTTTTTTAAATTAGGAACTTTGATTGATTGCGATACAGATTCGAAAACTCATAGTTTCCATACTGGTTCGTGCTCATTCCGATAAAATTTCAATGCAGCTGTGCATTCCGTAGCAGCTGAGGCGAGCGAGATCACCTTAAAATTTGTCTTGGCCTATATTTACCTGATGGTTAGACAAATTGAGGTACAGAAAAAGATATTTGCCCTTATAGACTACTTACAATAAAGGATTGATGCGTATTTAGGGGGACCTCACATGGATTCCTATCATATACGACGTGGAATGGTTTATTCAAGTTGATTCTGTGTACGTTGGCCCAAATAAATTCAGTGGGAGAGTTCAAGGATTGGTCGACACTGGCTCAACGTTCTTACACATACCTGGTCCTCAGTTTTCTCAGGTAGAATCCTACTATAAACCTTTCAGTGAGTTTCCAAATGTGGATTTAGCTGATTCAGTTAGACGTATGCATTAAGAGCAGTGTAAAAATTTGGATTTTTTGTTTACTTCGCGTCGCAAAAGTGATTTGACTCTGAAAACTAAAATTTGAACCAACGATTTCAGTGTACGATTTATAATCAATCAGTGACGATTCCCATTGATCTATCAGCTTCCTTCATAGGTGCAAATAGAGACGCCCAAAGAATTAATACCAAAGAAACAATAAGAAAACATTCGCGGTATGGAACACTACTCTTCTGTTCAACTTTTACAGATGTTGGCAGTGTTGGGCGCCTGGCAGGATGGTGATGTGACCGTGATGAACTGTTCAAACACTTATAACGCTCCACCACTGACTTTCTTCTTAAATAGAAAACCATTCAGCATTCCTCCCACAGCATACCTGCAGAATGTGAGATCCGAAATCGCCTACTTCTGTTTACTTTCGCCTTCAAATTATGCTCGATCGCTTTATTTGAAACTATCATCCACTTCAGATCAATTGTCCACACTCACGAAAGAGTACTCAGTGCTTAGTTCACTTCCTTTAGCAGGACTACCACATCATCAATCTCCAGCGTTTCTTTTTTTGGCTGTCTGAGTCCTACCGTAATGCATGGGGCGTTCGCATGAGTTTGGCTCATCACTCTTACCTGTGCTGGTTTTGATCAATCAAAACAAAACTGCTATGGAAACACATCTCATCTCCTATAATCATTACAACAGATGAATCCTAGAAGAAGGTCACGAACGGCTAACCCAAACGTTTACTTGAACGAAACGTAGAACACCTGATTGAGTGTTTAATTCATAAAAAGGATCAGTGAAACATGATTCTTCTTCTTTTTTTCAGGTTGGTAATGGTAAATGTATTGTTGGGATCGGTGAATACACACTAGATGCTTATACCTGGATCCTTGGTGACGTTTTCATCGGTCAATATTACTCAGTATTTGACCATGAGAATAAGAGAGTTGGATTCGCAGAACTGAAAGCTCCAGCAGCCCGCTAAGACAATTTACCACATGCGTCTTGGCGTTGAAAATGGTTTTAAATGAAATGAAAAATTGAATATATATCCTCGTTGAATTACTGATCGAAGATGCTGTTGGCGTGATCCAGCTAATAAAAAATTTCCACTCGATGGAACATTGCCGTCAATGATCATGTTGGGAGTAAGTGTCAAGAAAGCATGTCAGCTAACGTTGTGTGTTACGGTCTAAACAGCAGCCATCTGCTACGAGGTATTTCAAACTGACGAACTGAGACCTCTCAAAAAGCCGACATAAGATTCAGAATAGAATCAAAAGTAAGCTGTTCAGGCTACGTGTGCGTTCAGTATTCCCCATGAACTTCGGAGACATTCGGTACTGTCAAGCCGAACAGATGCGCAGCTGTAAGAAAAATTCATAAGTTGAATGTCTCTGTTGTCGTCCTCAAGCTGGTAGAACGCGAAAGTGATGACATAGTCGCCGAAAAAGGCAAAAAAAAGAAGGAATATCATAACATTCTCAGATTTTCAGAAAATTCACAAGGCGTCCCATATACCACAGTTATGTGAAAGACTCTGAACATCTGATCTGCCACTGACCAACGGCATGACTTAAAATTACCCTAATTTTGAGTGCTATCATGCACAACCTTCATGTATGTCATAAACAACTTATTTATGATACTGCACACGATTCAGTCAGGTCATCACCCTAAATATGCAGACATGGAATGACTTTTCGAAACAGGATCATTTTTCATTCAGGCATTTTTCATCAATCCTTCCACAAAGCTTGGAGTCTCATACGAGTGTAACCACCACGCACTTCCACATGAAACTGATTGCTGTGATTGTCTTGAACAGCTTTAGATCGTTTATGAAATATTCATTTCAAACATGTCAATGAGGGTGTGTATACCAAGTCATAAATTCGTATTATTCCATGACATTTTATTGTTTTATTGATGGTGTTCTCACCATTATAAACCATCAAAAACATTCAATGACATATCAATAAAACTGATGCTGAATATGCTTAAGAAGAGCCGTATATAAGCCGTTCATGAACCTCTGATCTCCCCACTGAACGTCTCGTGATCTATCAGTCATTGTTTGATCGCCGACCATCTCCTTTTCATATCTGTTCGTTTGAAGCATATCACGAGATAATTAGGGCTTTAGAAACATCACATCAGAATGTTTTGATCAATAAAGTGGCCGCGTTCGATGAGTCGCTTCATTTCCGTAAGAATACTTGACACTTTCTAAATATTATACTTTAGACACAATGCTTCCGACTGCTCCGTACATTTTCGTTTTGCTGACCCTAGCGTGCACAATCAACGCCTTGATCAGGTGGGACTGCACACAAAGAAAATTTCTCAAAACCATTTCAATTCCCATAAAATGACTTTTTCATGGGAAACGACGTGAAAATCGTTTCATAAAATCTCTAGATATGGCAGACTGGATATGTGGAATAGATTTTCAAAACCGTCAGGAGAAAGTACTAAGAGAGAGTAGAGATGACGATCCCAATAATCAACTTACTTTACGCAAGCAACCAAATCCAACGAAATTAGCAGCTACAATTAGTCAACTCTAATTTACTCATCAAAATCATTCATTGATATTGCACGACTGAATAAGTAGGAATAAT